GGGTGCTCACGTTGCAAGCTCTGATTCGAGCTCCATTCCATAGTATACAGCGGGGAGACGTAGCCGGCAAAGCACGGTGACAGGGCTATCACAGATCGAGTTGACCGGCCACCATGCTGCAGGCCCGCGCATGGTCAGATGGCACTGCCGACCAGCCCTAAGACATCATACCATCAACGCAAAGTTTCCAGCACCAACCGCCTGCGGCCGCTCACAGACAAGTTCTAGTCATTGACTAATAAGCAGCAACAACGTGATAAGCCCGTTGACGACTACTCGTCAATTGCCCTGGTGGCCTTTGATGCAAGGCAGTTAAGTCCGCGCAGTCAGCCGCAGCACCCCAACGTTGCCCCAGCTTGCGCGTAGAATATAACTTTGGCCACCTTTCAGCCTGGAGATGTTCATTGATGTTACGCAGACACCACCCTACGACGCGAAATTCTGACATTCAGTCTTGTCCGCGCTTCCATCTCTCTTCGCTAACCGCATGAGACCCTCAGCGAAGGGGTGATCCTTACGGTCTTCCTCTATCCTCGCTTGCACCTTCGCATCAGCCTAACGCGCGATACCGCCGACCCAAAGCATGTCTCATATCCCGTACCTGGGTTCACCGAACGAAAGCTGGCAGGATCTTGTTGCCTGGGACGACGAATTGTACGACCCTTTCTTCCAAGGAGAGACCAACTACACGGGCACTCAAGAGCGCAACTATGTTGCAGGTCACCAACTATCGGAAAGCTATACCTCTGAGCCTGCGTATCTGGTTTCAGCGCCGCCCTCAATCGCCGACGAACCGCCTTCGCTCGAGTATACTGTTTCGGCCCCACCATCAATTCTAGATGGGCAGTCCTCGTTTGAACAAGTGCATGGCACCTCTCTGTCCTTTGACACGATATCCACTTCTCCGCTCGTCGTACAAGCGGATAGCCAGTACTTCGGATCGTTTGGTGCCTGCGACAACAGTCTCCTGTCACCGCTAGGAACCATCAGCGATTCACCCATTCTAGACACACGATATGAGCGTATCCCAGAATCCTTCACTTCGTCGGCAGGGTCTTTTGAGAGTACGGCTGAAACAGTGTTCAATCCTCATGTTGCGGACTCATCCCATTCCTTCAGTGGTCTGGATATGAGACACTCCCGGCTGTTTTCGAACGTTGGTACATGGGCAGAGCAGCCACGGATCATCGAACCTATTGCAGAAGACGACGGAGGCAAATCAGAAGTCGAACCTATCGCAATCCCCCAATCTTTCCCACAGAGCTATAATTCGATGCTGCCATCCTATCGGCGATCAGATGGCGAGTATGATCTACACAGTCGTAGCAGAGCCATCGCCATCCCGGATACTACACGTGGGCAAAGCTTCAACAATCGGGCTACAGCGTCTGCATCGGCACGAAGAGCTCCTCCCATGCTCTCGGTATCGCCAGGCACTTCACGCTACCCTCGCAGTGTTGCGCTGTCCAGAAGCGCTTCGCTCTCGCGGCGCAAAGCCTCTACTCCATCTCCTACGTCCGACGCCTACGGGTGGGTATCCTACCAACCCAATCCATTGACCAATCGTCTGGCCCCCACTAGCACAGAGGGTATGTCAGGAAGAGCGCTAAAAGGACGAAAGAGAGCTCTCACTGCTGAGCAGCGCCAGCACGCAGCGTTGATGCGCATTATTGGCGCTTGCTCCAATTGTCAACGGCGGAAAGAAAAGTGCGACCCTGGTACTCCGTGCAGAGCCTGTCTTGATCACTACAAAGGTGATCTTGTCAATCACCCGTGTCGGGATCATACGCTTATTGATCTGTCTGCGGCATTCCTCTCTGACCGTCTCGGGTGGCATCCAACCGCACGACCGTTGGAGTCGTTTGTTCCGGCAGGCCAATCCAAAATCTCAAAAGAGGTCACCTACACCATTCCGTTGAACTTCGGCTTTGGTCCATCATTCCCGGTTTCAGTACACCCTGTGCAGCTCAACGACGACGCTCCTCTGGTTCACGAACATATCATCTACTCATGGCCGCCGCAGCCTTATACCGGGTCACCACACGAGCATGCCGTCCTACCAGCTGTACTAACAACTGATGCGCAATTCCAACTAACGCAAACCCTCGACTCCCACTTGTCGCTACTCGTAGCTCACCACTTCCGCGCTTTCCCACTATACTGTTCGCCGCTCCGAATCCTACGCGACATCTACGTCTTCTCCCGATCCCTCTCAACAAAATCGCCTCACTACCGCATACTTCACCAGTCGCTCAAGCTTCTCGTACTTGTCCACATTGGCGGCGATATAACACTGCCATCACGCTGCGAGAGCCCCATGTTGGAGCAAGTCATTCGCAGTACGATGAACATACCCGAAGACCTGACTCCCACACCGTGCTTCATCCGCTCGCAGTTCGGTGCGATCATGCCTGCTCTCGCTCTGAGCTTGATGAAGGATGTACTCACATCACTGGAGCAACTTCTCTTGAACAAGAACTGCGATGAATGGCCTATCGCTCTAGCTGTCCTCATTACTGTCTTGATGACAGTAGAATCCATCCACTACCACGCCGCGAAGTTACCGTACCATACCCGCTACGACACCTCTCGCTCATCTACTACTGAAGAAAATACCGAGGTCGATGACCATGGTGTCAAGGAGCTACTTGAGTTCTACATCGCCTGCTTCTCTGGCTGCCACGCTAGACTCAGGCCGGACTGGGAGGGCGAGTCAATGCAGTCTCACCAGACGGGCACACCCGAAGATGTGTTTATCCAAAGCCTGCGCGAGGCTATCAAGAGAGAGGATGCATCTAGCTACCTGATCAAGAAAGCTAAAGAAAAGAGACAAGGTGCCGACATGGGGTACTTCTTCGATCGGCTTGTTGCGCGCCTCTTCACTCTGAAGCATTAGTGACCAGAGTTGCATTTCCTATTTCCTTCTTTATTCCCTAGTATTCGGTTAATCTCTTCCCCGGGCGCATATGGCCAGGTGGCTCTCGAATTATGCTGGGCGTTGAAAAGGCCGCGATACCCTTCTTTGTAGACGACTGTACGCTGTCTTCGTTTATGCATTGGCGTTTATTCTTTCTTCATTTACGACTAATGCGCTCACGACTGTATCTTAATGATGGAACGACCTCTTGACGGCCTCTATTGGCGTTCGAGTAATTTGCTATAGTTCTTAGGGTATTCTGGAGCAAGAGCCCATATTTAGACAATTCGAGACACAGAATAAAACTCTCTTATGCTTCGTGCATCATGCGTATTATTATTCAAGAGCGATGATCCCGTTCTACTAATCACGCTTCTGCGCCAGACATCATATCCGATACCGAGACAACAGCCCACTTGACACCCATCCACAACATGCCACACGTCAACCCCAACACTACAAGCATAACCACAATCATGCGCCCCCTCATCTCAAGCGCGTCGCCAATCTCCAACTTGGCCATTTTCCTAATCTTCCTATTCAGGTGCCATGACTTTTTCTTTTTCCTCTGCTTGGGCTTCTCCTCGCCTGGCTCGTCTGGCCGCGGGCCTATAGCGTCATGAGGCTCTACGTGTCCGATGGTTCCTCTTCGACCCCATGTTGAATCGTCGGGGTCTTGGTAGGGTTCTGGATCGAGCCAGCTAGACGGGGCGAGGTAGGTGAGGAGAGAGAAGCCGGGAGAGTGGGCTTCGGTGCGGCGGGCGCGATTGCGGTAGTTGACGAGGAAGAGGGAGAGGAGGAAGGATATGAATAATACAGGCGTCAAGATAATCTTTGAGATTTGTTAGGAATGAAAGAGTAGGTTCGTCGTTGGAATTGGCTTACTCTTGTCAAAAGCGATTCTTGGTCGTCGTTCAGCTCGTTTGCTGGGGAAGATGGCAGCGAGGGTATTGGTGTGGTTGCGAGTTCCTCGAATGGGTCTGATTTCTTCTTCTTGTGTCTCCGTCGTGTAGATGGGGGTGAGGGAGGTGGGCTCGGTGGAAGATGCTGGTTATGACGGAAGTCGTGTGCTGCAGACATGTTGTTCAGCAGAACGCGTGCTGCAGCCAATTGATTGTGGAGGGAGGAATGTTCATCCAGTGTTCTCAATCAAGGTACCATACTGAGCATCTGTGTAACAGGGCCTGTAGATCTTTTTGGTTAGAGCGTTGGGTTTGGAAAGATGGGCAGCTGGCAGTAAGACGGTGATCTTGCTGGGTATGATGCGGCAGGCTACGGATGACGTGTGGTGCCCTACCGTTCATAGGGCTTGCTAGCCTGCGCCCGACCGCGTTCCACGCAAGCGTTCGAAAACGATGTCATAATGGGTCCAGACTTTTCTGTCGACAGCGTACCCATCTCCTCCCGAAGATAGGTTTACTATGTCGTGAGCAAGGGTCGCGGGGACTCCCGTGGGGTAATATACGCGTATTGCGACGCATGCATTATCGAGGTCGCGACTACAGCCAAGTCGCATCATGCGATATCACCCGCAAACTCCACGTTTCGTGATCGACTCAAGCATTAGCATAGCCCCGGGCTAACCGCTCTTCGTACACCTGGAGATTATTCGCATCGTTCTTCGCATACTTCGCCAAATGGGGAACGGGGTCGAGGATCTCCGACTCGACCGAACCCCCGAGAGCCCGCAAACGCGAGATAACATTGTTGCCTGGAAATCCTGGCCTACTATAAGTTTCCGTGGTCAGCAGTAGTCCTTGTACGGCCGTTAAGCGGGCATTATTCAGCTTCTTTCGCTGACCTAATACGCGGACCTAACGGACGAAAGACCGTCCGAACCTCCTCGATTTGCTTTGAAACCCCATCACTGCCAGCAGCTTACGTCTGACTTCTTGCTACCACTGAAGCCTCTTTGTTTCTCATCAACTGGGTCCGTCTGTTCTTGCCAGAACAAGTTGCGGACGCGATAATATATCCATCAACTTCCGCGATCCGGAGTGCGCCGTGCAGAGCCGAGTCCGGACGAATTCGTCGCAAGAGCTAGGTTCGTGCGATCGGGGTGGTTGGAACACAACGAATCGAGATGCCCAAGGAGGAGACGTTACCGACACGCAAAAAGATGCGTAAGGGTACGCATAGCTGCTTCGAATGTATGTGAATCCAGTTGTTGCCTTAGTTGAATAATCACTCTACACCACACTGCTACGTGTCACTATTAATCTTTTCTTTTGCGTGCATCACCACGCCAACATTCTGCTCTACTCTATCTTTCATCGTCTTCATACTGTGGGCCTTTCTGATGGAGTTTAGGTCGTCGCCGCAAGATCCGATGCATCTTCCAGCCCGACAATCCGGATGTCTGCTCAGAATGCTTCGCGCGCGGCAGCAGGTGCATCGACCAAGAACATGCCAACCCGGAAGTCATTGTCGATCATAGGAAGAACCTCCGTGAGCGAGTATCACGACTAGAGGCCTTGGTCGACACGTTGCTAGAAGACAAGACTGTCAAGTCAGAAAGCCGGAGTCAGAGCCAGAGCTTAGCCGACACCTCATCACCAAAAGCACCTACTACTTACCACAAGGACACCTTCCCACCGACTCCTCTTTCCTCAGGAGCCTCGTCCAACATTTTCCAATTGCCGAACAACCAGCGTGCTGCTTCAGACCGAGGTCATCATATACCTATCCTCTCTGTGTTCGAAGATGCAGTATGTATTTCAACACTCTAAGCTGTATCTGATACTTACCATCTACAGCTCAACGATGCCGAAGCGCAAGCGAAGGCCCGCAATTGTCCTTTGGAGCAATCAACACCAAAGCCCGGAGGAGCGGCTGACGATCGATATACAATAGAAAACAGACACGACGATGACATAGCTGCTGGAGCCACCATCGCGCACTCCGCAAAACGAGAGAAATGCAAGCAAGCATTGATTGCGATGCTACCGCCTTACGATCAACTCACCAAACTTCTCAACTCGAACAGTGACTGGTGGCAGACATGGCGGAGAAAATGCAGTGGCACCTCCGGTCCTGAGCAAACACTGCCTCAATTCGCTGCGCAAGCCCTGACGACTGGAAACATTGGCGCGATTGCTACTGTTGTCTTGTCAGTCGGAATCTGCTCATCGGAGGATGACGACGATGTTGAGCGCTACATCGAGGCTGTGGACCGATGGTTCCTGTCCGATGATGAGTATGCAGCAAGCTTGGAGGGCCTGGAGTGTCTGATCCTGAAGTCCAAGTGGTACGCGGATGTAGGTCAACCACGACGAGCTTGGATCGCATATCGAAAGGGCTTGATGTATGCCCAGCTCATGGTAAGTTCATGCTGTCACAGACCGCCGGAATATGACTAACTCATGAAAGGGACTGCACCGTAAGCGCACAGCCTCAGCACCACACGAAAGCATCTGGTGGGCTTTGTACCACGGCGACCGGTTCCTATCTCTCTTGTTGGGTCTTCCATACGGTGTCACTGACGCGCATTGTGACCTGACGATGCCTGATGTTGGCGACGGCACATACGTCCATCCCTTGGTCGGTATCACGAAGCTCTCACAGCTTGCAGGGAGGGTCATCGATCGAAACCAGGGAGTCGCAGAACAGTCTTTCGCCTGGGCACTGCAGCTCGACCAAGAACTGGAAGACCTGTGGAAGAAGTTCGATCCGGCATGGCTAAACTACACAGAGTTACTTGCCGACGCGGAGACCAATGCGGCAGAACTGCGAGAGCGAATCATGGGTCAGATTATCTTCCATCAGATCCGTGTGTACCTGCATTTGCCATTCATGCTCAAAGCAGCCTCGAACTCACGCTTCTCGTACTCGAAAACCGCATGCCTGAACGGCTCACGAGAAGTACTACGACTGTACCAGTCTCTGCGGATGGGACACATCCAGCCGCTCTACGAGTGCAAGGCTATCGACTTCATCGGTTTCACAGCTGCAGTCCTCATCCAAATCGGCCTACTCAACTTTGGCATGGTCTCGCAATCCTCAGGCAGCGGACCTACTCCGAAAGAGATTGAAGAAGACGTGCGCCTCATCGAAGTCAGCATCGACATATTCCGCCGCGCATCGAGCGAAAAAGGAGGCAAGGTCGCCGCTCAGTCCGCCGAGGTGCTCGAAAAGATGATGGGCAAGTTCAAGGGCACAAGCAACGAGCTGGACGAAACCTGCACCGGAGATGCCAACTTCGTTATCCCGTACTTTGGTACCATCTCCATCAAGAGAGGGGGCCAACTCGTCAAGAAAGGCCCAGCCCCTCCGGGTCGTTCACCCAGCATGGGGAGCTCAAGGTCCCCAGGGACCTCAGCACAACTATACACACCCACGTCGGAGAAGCCGTCGCGGACTTCTTCGGACGTCTTTTCGCAGCCCACACAATCGCTCAATGTCACGCCCAAGACGTCCGTCTCCGCAGGTACCGCTACCTCGGCCTTCAACTTCACCGACCCCTCGCCCTTTGTGTCGTACGACGGCTTCTACAACTGGAACAACCTCAACGCAGATGACGCATCGGCGACCGGCGCTGCTGCAGGAGGCACGTTCAACTCGCAGATCAACGACGACAGTATGAACAACTTCCCACTGCCGACGAACAACTTCTCGTGGCAACATATGCCCATGGATATCGATCAAGATTGGTCTTGGTTCTTGAACGATGCGCAGACGACTCAGGGTATGGGTAACGGTGTGCCACCAGCGCCCACTGTACCACTTGATTTCAACGCACAGGGCTTCCCTGGCTTTGGCTGAGGGACGAAGTGTTGCATAGGCGTTTATGGTGGGTTCACATTCACTACGAGATACCTAGCCGTGTACGAGAAAAGTATGGGGCCATGTACGATATCAAGTATTTGTGTAGATGGGTTCAGAGTTTCTTTTTGATATCCGAGCTGCTAGATGCTACTCCACTCTCGCTGGCAATGTGCGAGGCAATTGATCTTTCTATTCAAGAACATGACCCGAGACCCTGAATGTGTGCCTACAAAGTCCAGATAACAACCCTTCCATCCACACCCGTGGAACTGATCTTGGTGATACCGCTTCCGCTCTCTTCAAAGCTTCGGATAGTGTTGATGGTGTTCTGGTGCACAGTCTTGAGCTTGGTGTCATCCGTGCCCGACTTGCCCTTGAGATCCATCTGCCTGAACATGTTCAACGCGCTCTCCTCACGCTGATCCGATAGACCAGGTCGGCTCTTAGCCTCCAGACTTCCAGTAAGCTGCCAGCCAGACTCGTCACCCTTCAGACGGTAGGCTTCGCAGTTGTATCCGGCAGCAATGATCTCATCCTCAGAGCTCCACAAGAGCGACATGAAAGGCAAGACTTGAGTGCTGACACTGAGGATGGCGCGGGGAGCTTGTTCGGGACCGCTGGGGTATACGACGGTGAGGGTGCTGTCGTGGGATGCGAATGCGAGGGCGTTGCCCGAGGGTGAAAAGGCAACGCTGTGGACCCAACCGGCGGTGTTGTTCAGGTACTCGCCGCAGATAGTGTTGAACGGGAGACGCTCTCCCCATGCCGAGGGCTCCGGACGCGCGTCGACGTTCTTGATGAAGGAAGAGAGCACGCGAGCGTGTCCGTCGGTAGATCCTGCGGCGAGCAGGACCGAGTTGGGGTGCCAGGAGACACAGGTGATGGTGGAGCGAATGGGCTTCTTGATGTGCTTGGAGACCCACCAGTTGTCCTCCTCTTCAAAGTAGCAGACAGGGATCAAACGAGCACCAGAGCCCACAGCGAACTTGGTCTCGGAGGGTGCCCAGCGGACACAGGTAGCAGCGCGGTTGATGCGGAGGAGCACCAGTGTGGGCTTCCATCCCTGCGGCGAAGGCTCCCAAACGTAGGCATTGCGATCTATCCGTGCATTAGCTGCCTGCTCCAGCCCACCAGATAGCCCCGAGCTTACCCTGCGAGCAAGTCACAATCTTGCCAGAGTTGGGTGCAATGTCTACACCGGTAACTGTCTTGTCGTGACCCGTGAGCTCGTCCTTGAGCTTGTATCCGCTGCCCGTCTTCTGGAAGAGGTCGACGTTGTTCTCTCGGGTTACAGCGAGCGTCTGTCGGTCGGCGGAGAAGGAATGGTCCGCAATGGGATGGTGGAAGAGGTGGTGAGCTTCAGGACCAGACATGATGGATATGAGGGTAGGCGGGCAATAGGAGACTCTCTACTACTGCCAATTGGTGTTTTGGGTTGCAAGCTGTGGAGCTTTGGGAGACTTGGTGACGTGGGGCTGCTGGCTGGCTGGCTGCGATGCTGCGGGTGTTAGCGTCGTCTTGGCTTTCCCGAAAATCACGGCGACTGCAGCTTCGACATCAACGCGAATTGGGGGGTTTTGCTACGCGACGGGCAGTTCTTGACACAGTATGATATGTGCCACTTTGGGATATATGTACAGATGCTAATCATACCGCAGCAGCCGCCATCATGATCCTCAGGCGCCCGCTTCTCAATGCGACATCCGCAGTATCAATACCGAAGACATGCGTACGAAACCTCCAGCACTCGATCCCCATGCGCCCGGTTCCTAAGCCCATACCATTCATTCCCGATCACACCGCCTTCCTCAGCGCAATTGGCCGCGGCCTCTCCGCACACGCAACCAAGATACCCTCCTGGGAAGCCCTCTTCACACTCACATCGCCGCAACTGAAGGAACTTGGCGTTGAGCCAGCACGCTCGAGACGCTATCTATTACAATGGCGGGAGAAGTATAGAAACGGCGAGTATGGTATTGGAGGAGATTGCAAGCACGTTCAAGACGGCGTGGCGGAATTGAAGGTCGTCGAAGCACCAGTACCGCCAAATCCCGAACTCGGCAACACCATAAGTCCCCGATCCGCAGCTGCCACGGCAACACATGATCCGGGTACGAGGAAGCTCGTTGTTAATGTACCGGTCGGTGCCGAGGCACCAGTCGAGCCCGTCGAGACATTACCCAAGGTGCAAGGCGTTATCGTAAAGGGTGCGAAGACGATCAAGGGCAGCTTTGTGGAACCAGTCAAGGGAAGCGGAGGTCTACGAGCACGTATACGGCTGCAAGAGGGTATCTGGGAAGTAAGGAGAGGGCACAAGGTCGATGGTGGCGAGAGGAGAAAGGCAGAGGTGCGGGCGAAGCGCAGGGCGGCCGAGAACAAGGAGAAGGCGAGGTAGATCTAAGTGTTAGGACATGAAGTAGCAGATACCGATTCTTGTACAATGAATGTTATTATACGTAAGTCTATGTGTACAACGTCAGAAGACCAACCATTGGCAGGATGGATGACCCGGGGTAGGGGCTTCAGCCGTAGTGGAACTATCTGACAATTCGCCCCAATCTCAAGAGGTAGAGAAGCTGGCCTTGGAGCAGCCCAGAGTGTCAAAGCCGACACATACAGATTCCACTGTGCTCGATAGCACGAACGACTGCTACCCTAGATTGCTCAGGTTTTAGGGCTTCCCCTCTGCTCCAATCCTCTCAGATCCGAAGGTGATCAAGTGCCTGCTTCTCTCTCAAGGATCGTTGTATGGGTTGCTATAGGCGATGTGATTATGACACAGGGAAGAGAAGCATGGGAAAGCTTTCTTGGCACTCTTTTGACGCCTCGAAGAGTTCGTTTACAAAGAATGTGAAAGCGCATACTGTTGCGCATGCTGAACCGGTAAACCCTAAGACTTTTGAAGTTCTCTAGCCTCCATTAGCAGCTCACCTTGATACAACTAACTTAAGCCGTAACTGGGAAAAGGCCAGGTGCTGGACAATTCAAAGATAAGTCGGGAGAGAGATGTAAGGTAGCATCGGGATGGCGCAATACGACAGGGTCCATGAACAAAAGTCTGTTCCCAAGTTAGCAAACCAGACCTCAAAGTGTACGTTAAGACTGAATAAGTCGGTAACACCTCAGACAGTAAGCTTTCGCACACTGAGACCACGCATTCGGGTTCTCTGCTGCGAAGTATCTATAGAGGCGCATTCGTGGGAGATTAAGCCATGAAGCACGTCGTGTCATCCTGGATGATAAGAAGGAAGGAAGGGTCTTCAAGGGCACGCGTACCAGATTTCTATTGAGAGTGACATTATACTGCCTTGTCATTCTCTCCTGCGTCCAAGTGAGGTGACATGCATGCGCATTCCCCAGTACCCGGTATGCGAGATGCAGGCTTGTACTAGTCGCAGGTGTGGACGCAGCTGCATGATGGTCGAATGACCAAGCGAGTGCCGCACATAATCAATGTAGTGGTAATCAGGGGTTTTCGAAGACGCGAGAAAATTTCGTAGGTTGAAGTTGAGTGTTTGTGCTGTGGTTGCCTGCCTTGATCTATGTATGACAGCAAGTACCTAGGTAGGTATGACGCTAGTCCTCATCACTAGCGCCACTTCGTTCCTGCGTCTTGCTCTTACCTCACCTGCAACACTCGAATAGAGGAGGCAGGGCCTACGCTGACTTTGTATCAAGAGAGTTTCGCTATATCTGTCTTCTCTCATTTCGCAGGAGAATGGCTAGTAGACAATTTTCAACAATACCACCTCATGCTCCGGGAACCACGAGGCACCTAGCGAGGATGTTTCTTCCAACTATTATTAAACCAATACATGTCGTATCACCCATAGCTGCTTTAGGAACCCATATATTATGTCCAAATTATATTTCTCATCTAACATGTCATCCCATTGCTCGCCTATAGATCACGTACCGGGACATCCACAAGTCCATGCCAAAGCCAGCTCTCAGCAACACAAAACACACAACGCACAACATTCCATGGCCGGCCAGCGGCCACAAAAACGCCTCGAGCAGATAGCCTCTCTTCGGAGATTGCAACATAGCACTATGCAGATACGCCCCTCCCGCACCCGTTATGTACGAGAGCCGAGAAGCCCTTAGTTCCCGGCGTCCCCTTTCCCATGCCCATCAGCTACGCCACGATAACGCCTCCCGCCCATTATCGTCACCGTTACCGTTACCACTAACACAAACTTTCCCCCGCCACTAGGTTCGACATGTGAAAGGAGGGGTCACTCCAGTAAAACACGATTCAACCAGTCTCGCACATGCAACAATAGAAGACCGAAACCATGTTTGTTGTGCGATTATAGATTCTAAGCTCAGCTACTCACCTACCCGGTTTTCGCTTCCTCCCAATTGTCTAAGAGTAATTGCGTGTGTTATATACAAAGATAGATAAGGGAAGACAATTGATTGTATGGCGCAAAAAACGAGCCTTTCCATGGGTTGAACGAGACAAAAAGTGACAAACTCCGTGTATGCAAAGAACGCAATGGAAAGATCGAAAACGCCGGTTGTGTATGCAAAGAGGCTAGGAAATTAACAGGTAAATGGTGTATGTTCAGCTGCAATTCGCGCTGCATGAGTCTTCGTATATCATCGATCTTTTTCTTCTGGTGTCCCTTTGTTTCTTATTCTCTCTTTCTCTTCCATGGGTGATTATTGTAATGGGTCGATTGTTTCTGTCTCAACTGTACAATACGGTATTAATACTTTCTGCTGACTGCCGCTGCTATCAACCACCACCAAGACTATGTACGTTATTAGTCTACGAGCTCTTGCCCGCTTCAAACACCTTGTTCATGAACTCGTCCACATCGAGTTCAATCTTCTTCTCGCGAAGTGTCTTTGCAACCTGCGCTGCGTCGCCCTCCATGCAGCTGCCCTCCAGTATACTGAGTATAGCGACGGCAGCGCGTGGGACGTTCTTGTCGCCCTCGATGGTGTAAATGTCCATGATGCGCGCGGCGTGCTCAACGCCTAGACGACCGCAGAACAGTGAGCCGAGGGTGTGGAAGAGGTAGTCTCTGGGTTCAACTCGTAGCGTCTCTAGCCGTTGAGCCAGACTAGACGCTTTCTTCGACAGAACGTGCAGTGTTGTGGAGTAGGCGGCGTGTATGGCGTTTTGGTCGTGGATGAGGAAGGACAGTGGCAACGGGCGGTTGAGCAGATTGGACAGGGTGACGAAGGCTTGCGGCGCGGCAAGGTTTAATAAGAGCAATGCGGCGATGTGATGTATGTCGAAACTTGAGTGTGGGATGTCCGGGCGGTACATCGAATAGGCCAGGCACACATCGACAAGGTCCCGATGCAGCGGCTGCTCGTCCTCCGCCGCTTGTGAAGTTCGTGCGGCAAACATCTTGAGTTCAGGGAACACTGCTTGGGTGCTTTCGACAATGTAGACATAGCGGCCTCCGAGCGCTTCGTGGCCATGTGTCTTCACTTCTTTGCGTGCTTTCTCCAAGGCAATGTTGTAGGTAGCTTCTGTGACCTCGAGGTCGTTTCCAATCGCTTTCTGCCAGACTTGGCCTCGCAACCGTGGAGGGATTCCGTTCCACCACATCTTCCTGTGCGAGGCACGTAATTCGGAGTTGGTCATCTCGGTGGCCCAGTTTGGCAGCAGTAAGCTCGACCAGTATTCAGCCTTGATGCGGCTGGCCTTTTCACGAGCCAGCGCCTCCTCTTGCGCGCGTTGAGCCTCGAGACGTTCTGTGACTGTTAGCCATTTATTGTCTCAGAAAGAGCCTAGGAAGGCGCAGATAACTTACCGGCTTCTTCGATACGAGCCAACATGCGCTGGTACTCCTTGAGATGCTTCTTCTCCTCCTTGGGGTTCTTGGGTGGGAGCCATGAAGGTCGGGTGCGCGAGAGGTACTTCTGCTTCTCAACTGAGGGCTGGAAAGGGTCGATCAGAGGATCGCTCTTGCGAACAGGCGGGAGTGCTGGCTTTTTGCTCTTTGGCTCTGGCTGGCTCATAGACGCTGAACGCGTGAGACCGGGCTGTTGCCGTGAGATTTCTTGCTTTCGCTCAAACTCGGATTGGAACTCCTCTAGCTTCTCTGTGATCAACTTGGCGTCGGTATCTAACGCGGTGTACGTCTCGGCCCATGTGTTTTGCTGTGCCCCGGGTTGGGGAGACACGCCCCTGCTAGAAACGTTGGGGGAGGGGGTCCTCTGGGAGACGCGCGCAGAGGGTGCGGGCGATGTCCTCGAAGACGAAGAGACGCCAGGATGCGGTGACATTAATGGCGGACTTTCTCCGGTCCATGACGCCGGCGACCGATCCTGGGTGGGGCGCGGCGAGATGGGAACGTTCCAGATGACAGCGTCTTCAGGAAGCTCATCGTCTTCATCGTCACACTCTGCCTCCCTTTCTTTTACAGTTTTTCTTTTGGAGTCCTGCCACGACTGCCTCCTGGAGCCCAAACCCGGGGACGGCAAGACATCGTTCCGCGAGCTCTTGCGAGATAATGTGCGGGGTCCCGAAGCAGACTTGTGTGTGTTTGAGGGGGATGGCGAGCGCGAGGAGCGCTGGGGCGCGGCAAGGCTCAGGCTGGAGAGCGAGGGGACAGAGGGCGAGGTGAAGCCTCTTCTGGCTTGCTTGCCGGGGGCGGAGAGCTGGGCCTGCTGGCGGACGGCGTGGTTGACCTGGCCCTTGAGGCTCGGGTACTTTTGCTTGGTGGCACCCGTCAAATCGCGGAAGGAGTGGGCCGAGTGCGAGTGCGGGAGGCTCCTGGTGGACAGCGAGGCGCGCGGGGCTTCGAAGAGGACGCGATTAGACGGGCTCGCAGGCACGGGGAAGGAGAAGGGCCCACCTGATGCTTCGTCGAGGTTGATGTCCTCAAAGTGCGAGAGGTTCTCCGTCGTGCCCATGAAGTCTAGCAGCGTGGACGAGTGGATGCTGGACGACTTGGACGACTTTGAGTTTGTGAGGTCCGGCGGGCTGCCGGGCGGAGCGCCAAACGTTTGCTGGGCATCGTGGGCGTAGGTGAGGGTGGCCATGAGCGGTCGGGGCGGTCGTCGCTGGGTGTCGATGCGGAGTGGTGTGCCAATGCGGTGAGGCCGTCGGTCGTGGTTCGCCCAGCTGTCGTCGCGGTCGCAAGGGGCTTTGATTAATGAAGGCACATAGCTATGCGCGGAAATAATGTACAGCGACTTGGCCTGCGAGATGTAGTGCACGTCGGCGTCGCAGTCTTCGCTATCGCCCGCTTCGTAGACAGGAGGCAGTCGCTGGTGATGCTGCACCGCCGGCATCTTGGTCGATTCGGCGACGCAATTTGCGGAACTCGCGCTAGCCCCTGATGTCGGGGGACAGGGATGGACTCCAGTGGTGGGCCTCGCAGTGCTCTGGACCCGTCAGCGGCGCAAGATGCCTTGGTCGAGTTTAATTGCAAGCAGCCGTCGGTTCTACGTTGGGAATGGGATCAGGCATGGGAGCAGAGGGCGAGGTTCTGGCGATATGTGAGATGCAATCGTGCTTGAAACCGCAAAACCAATACGGCGCCGACTGAGGCAGGTATGCTTCTCCAGCCCGACCCCGGTTCAATGCGTCTAGCCAGGCGTTTTGCGACGCTGTCCCTCTGCTGAGAGCCTGCATAGTCGACCCCGGCTTCTTTGGGATGGGGTTGGTGTCCCAGCCGTCGCATCTACGCTTGACATCACGATACCAGCGTCGGCGGGCCAATCGCGTGCCGTCGAGGGCTGTCGCCTGCTCGACGCGAGGCTTATCAGGAGCAAGTAGTGGTCCGCCTATACACTACCGCGCCTTGCCTCAGTACTACCAGCGCTGCAATATGCAAGAAAAAGACATAACGACATCATCCTCTCTGCAGTCCTTCCGTCACTCCCGACAGCGCTGCAGCCAAGGCCCAAGGCTTGCAGTCGTGCCCACATGCCGCCGCTAGACGTGGGCGCTCGGCGTGGGCCCCCGGCCACAGATCCTTAGTGCTTTTCCCGAGTTCCTATCCCGTCACCACACTCGCATCCACACCTGCACCTCCCAACATCTTCTCTATATGCCTAGCCACTGCATTATCGCTGGAACCCGCTTTTGCTAGCGTGTTAAGCTTTCAGTGCCAAGTTATTGCCTCCTCCAGCATGCGTCGCTCCGCCATGTCAGACATGCGCGCTGCCGAGAGACATGTCTGCAGCCAGGCTAGCAGCGCGCTGTGCTGCGTCTGCTTGCGCTGAAACACCGTCTGAAAAGCTTTACAAGCCAGCCTATCCCTTCAATTAGCATTTGTTGGAAACCGGTAATACGAGCCCCGCCATGTCATCTTGCAAACCGTGGAGACGATCTAGCCAAATCGCAGATCGTGCATCCACTTACTGTGCAACACGGAAGCTTAGCCACACGTACCATGAAAGCTGCCGCCGCGAGATGACGCCCTGCACAATCTTTGCCTCTCTGCTGCCGCGCGACCGTGAACGGCGCTGTAGCATCACATGGGCTAGTGCAATCATGTTGTCTACCGTCTCTGCAGTTCCCTCCGTCAGCAATTTCCTTCGCTAGCGTAGCCGGCGCAATCACGATCGCTCGTGGCGTGTGCCGTGCTCGCTTTCGTGCTATCAGACCATCATTCATTACCACGCCCACCCTCCCACGGGACAACCCCGCACGAGCATCGATGGATTGGGCGTTGGAATCTTCGCAACGGGAAAGTTTAGACGTACTGATAAGCAGATTCGAACACGTCGTTCGCACCTTGGATAGCGCGCGTGCGTACTCGAGGCACCTCACCGCCGCTTCAAGAAAGCTTTGATGCAAATTCGCTAGCACCGTTGCCACGTTGTTCAACGATGGATCGATCAGCATGGCCTTCAGCTGGATCTTGAATCCGCTATCAGAAATCAGTAAATTGTCGGACTTTTCACCCCGTCCATGGCCCGATTGGCCGGCGGTGCATACCGCGATCTTCGAGACTTACTTCAGAGCTTTGCGATGGAACGTTTGGCCGGGCATTTTGGTCAGATCTACAGTCAAAGAGTCCTCAACACCTGGTGCGGTTAGCATCTGAAGCCGCAAATAGACATTGTGCGCGCAATGCCACCTACCGGCCTTTGTAAGGCGTTCCGTTTTCTTGCTGACTTCCAGCGTCGTCGTATCGATACAGACGCCGCAATACGGGAATTTACCATCTGAGCCGCTTGTCGCTATCCGGTCTCCTTCTTCTGTCGTGACATCGAAGTTTGCCATCGACTTTGAGGGCTTTATCACCACACCGTATTCCGGGTGACCTTTGTGCATAACGCGTACGAAGCGCTGAGCATACTCTTCGTTGATACTGATCAAGAGGAAATCGTCAAGCAGACGAAGAAGCAATGAATCTTCATCAAGTACGAATCCAAGCACATCGCGTTCCAGTTGAGCGTAGAAGAAGTTGCACAAGATGCTCGATAAAACTGAGCCCTGTGGTATACCAGTCTTCTGGCGATAGAAGCGCTTCCCGATTTTAACGACATTTCTCTCGATATGCTCCTGTAAGAGCTGCATCAAGTCATCCTTGGTCTCGCGCCGTTGCAAGTTGGTATTAACAAAGACGGTGTTGGCCTTTGTGCCTGCCAATCTATCTTGCACGAGTTGGTGAAAAGGCGTTACACCCGTCGCTGCCTCAGTATGCGGTATGTACTTCTTGAGAGGCATTGGGTCCACATGTTTACCGCCGAGACGCTGTAGCGGACCCAGGGGTGAAATCTCCACATGTTTGCCGGTGTTGTAAGCCTGGATCGACATGAGACTGTCGATCATACGCAGCAAGCGTGACTGTGGTATAGTGTCGAAGCAAGCCTGAACATCAACCTTAGCGAAATAAAGCCGAATGTCGCCGAGCCCACGCTGTCGCAACGATGCTTTGAAAGATGCAAGCTTGGGAAGCATATCCCCGACGGAGAAAAGTGAGCAGCCGAATTTATCGGGACGCAACGACTGCCTCAAATTAGCCATTGTAAATCCGTCAACGCAAGCGGTCACTGACCTTCTCGTAGGTAATTGCGTTGAAGGCTGGAGTCATCACTGAATTGATACTTCGTCCGAGAGTCATAGTCCCATATCGCATCACCTGCTGTCTTCTCTTGAGATTCATGATAGTTCGGAAGCCCTGTTTCTTCGGAAGAAGACGGATGTTACTGAAGCCGAGCTGACGTGCGGACAGCAGTCTTTCCGTGCTTTCAGTAGGCATCTCCTCGAACATGTTCATCCGTAGTTCCTTCAAAGCGGGCTCTGTTAACATCCGCCAAATATCATGGCGGAAATAGAATAGTCTGTTCCGATGCGCGTTGGACTCTGTTACATGGAAGTTTGTGCGAACCAGAGGAACGAGGAAAGAGTCGAAGAGCCAGTAGACGAACTCGAGAAATATCTCCGTACGCTTATCTATATCCGACTTGGACATCTTTGTGTCGTCGTCTTGGCTGGGTGGGCGCAACCAGGCTATGTTCGTGATCTAGGATCTCTTAGTACAGCTCCATGCTCAATGTAGAGGAACACGTACCTGTATGTTCTGTGTAACCTGATGTAGATTAAGCGATTCGAATCTGCGCATGTCCACGAATTGGTCCACCCAATACATAAGGGTGCGATGGTTATGCTCGTTACCCCAGAATCTTTCCGGTATAACTTTGGATATGACTGCGCGACAAAAGGCCGATACGTGTGCTGCTGGACACGCCAGATCTGTGAAACAGGTTTCTTGAACAGTGGGATTTCCAGGAGTAGGCCGCGTTTTTGTGCGACGATTGACTGGATCTGCGACTGATCGTACATCTGCCTTCGGCTGAAGTGCGCTCTTTCTCCAATCGGGCTTCGTTGACACGGGTACCCCCTATCTGAGTTAGCAGACTTCCCTATACATGTCATGGAGAAGAGTACCTCGATTGGACAGTAGTGGCGCAGCATCTCCATATACGAGCACCGCTGGTTGCGGACCCGAAGTTTGTCCACCAGTTTAACAGCGTCACCCCGGAGTCTCTTGGGAATTCGCTGCTTCCACTTAGCTATCTCCTGGGCGTCCGTCGCTTTGGGGCCTAGCTCCCGGCACATGGCGGTATGTATATCCTTCTCGCGCAGCGTGTAGTCTTTGAACGGCATGGCTGTCTCACGATGATCCACCTTGGAAGTGAAGACGTTGTGCAACCCGAACTGACGCGGGAAGATATACCGCATGACATGCACTGTCTCTTGCTTGTCTTTTCGATCAGTGCATCGATTGAGAACATCTATGAATGGTTAGCCCCGACAAAGCACTCGAAGAACAGTGACAACGCACGAATATGGCGCATGCCAAATCTCACACCACCTTTCGCATTGAGCGCTGCTTTCGCATACAGCATGCGACTACGCACAAATGTAATAGCACCAGGCTTTTTGCTTTCAATCTTAAGCTGTGAAGGTTTGATGGGCGCTTCCTTATCCGCGTTGACTCTTGCGATGTTGCTCTTCTGATGCTCATCCGATTTCACCTCATGCACAGGAACCCCAGAGAGCTGATAGTAGTTGCCCATATCAGCACTGACCAAGATGAATATGGAGCACTCCAGAAGCATGTCCATTATAATGCGGTCGCCGCCCTGGCCGAGCAATGCGTGCAATCGGCACCATACTGGCTCTTTCAACGTCCTCGCGTAGCTATTAGGTAGGCGTTCTTGCAGACCAGGAATAGATGAACTCGGATCCTCGCTGTTCCCGTGCACACGGCGATTGCTGCCAGCAGATCTTTGAAAGCCATGGCAGAGTAAGTGTGCTGGTTTGTGAGATGTTGAACGCTTGAATAAGCGCCATATCACAAAGTCAACAATCTGTGTATACTTAGTGGTAGTTCTACGAGCGAAACAATAAGTGGGTGATGCGTCGTATGACCTACCTCGGATTGCCTGTAGTATCCCGGCTTGAATGTGCCGCCCGGAGTGCTTTGCGATCGTTGTTGGGTGAATGCTTCGATATCCTTCTCACGCTCTTCGGTGGAACACGTTGTTTTGTCCTTTTCTAGTTGAACGCCTGGAGTGCATACTAGTGCTGAGTCGAGCAACTGCACAACGGCATTGTCAAGGTCGTCCGCGGTGTTTTTGTCTCCACCGGGTATGGCATGTCCAAGTTGCGAAAGCTTTCGGTACCTATTCTTCGACGAGCCTGGGAGTCGAGAGAGCAGATACTGGCGCAGAGTAAGGACTTCGGGATAGAGGCGTTGTAGGACTGGATGAGTAGCATAAACAGTGGTGGCCTTGGTGGATTGGTCATCGGCGCCCTTTGTTTTCTTGCGGCCGCCCGCACAGCTATGGGCGCTACGTTCTCTCTTCATGCCGGTATAAGCGCATGCATTGCATGCGTAGGCGCGTTGTTTGAGGCTTGTGGTGTGTGAGTGGAGCTCGTGAGGCGTGTCAATGGGGTTAGCGCTGACGCGACCGCACGCGTCGTCGCGTGACTCGAACAGGGAGTCGCATCAATCCTTGTCACAACTCGCGTACAGTCACCCAACAGCGTAGTTCATACTAGATCGAAGTATGAGATCATTACGAGCAAGTTAAGCTAAGCAACATAGTCTTATTTCGTGATCGCATTCTACCTATGTACTTTCCTAGAGTACTCAGGCGTTGGACGTGAGCATGTGGGTTTGGTGAGCATCCGGTACTGTACGATTGTTGTCCAAAGACCAAAATATCAATCCAAATCCTTCTCTATCCGCGTTCGCTAAGCTCAGTTTACCTTACAGGTCTAAGCACTTCCCAATCCCCCATATTACGCATATCGTCCGGCTCATCATCCATCAGATTCCTCCTACTACTCCCACCACTTCCTGTGCGCGGCGGCAATGCCGGCTTGTCACCGTCATCATCAATAAGATTTTGCACTGGTTTCCTGGTCAGATGAGGAGGCGGAGCCATTGAGCGTCTGGTTGACTGCGGAGGATATGCCCTCGATTCTTCTTCCGGGGGATCATCACGGTAACGTTGTGGAGGGGGTGCGAAGGTTGGTCCTAGAGAGGAACTTTTAGAAAGGAGAGCGGGTTTCTTGTTGGGGATTGGTGGTGGTGCTGGTTTGCGGAGGACTTGTGGTTTACTGGAGGATTGTGTTTGGGGCAGCGTATTTGATGCGCGGTAAGGTAGGCTGTTGGGAAGGGAGTGTGTAGACGCGCTTGAGCCGCTGCGGCGGAGGTCGCTGAGCGAATCTCGCGTACCGTCTGAACCGAGGATTTGAGTGGCATGACCCGGATACAACGGAGCGATCATCTTACGAGCCGCGGGCTTCTGCGTTGGTGGTAAACTGGTCGAGGGGCCGTTGAAGTCGACTGTGCGTGCTCTCTGTGAGCCGCGTGCTGGTGGTGGCTCGGGTCTGCGACTGCTCGGCATATGCCGAACATCTATCCAGTCTGGCTCTGGACTAGGCGTAAACGGATTGCTGGGTCGATTCGGGTTTGGAAAGTGGTTATTAGATGGCGGTTCCACGCGTGCTTTCGCTGGCAAACCTATTGAATATGAGTATCCAAGCTATAGCGGGAAAGATGATAAAAGTACCGTTGTCGAGCCACCACTTCCTCCGATCTGAGCTTGCAGGTGGCAATCCTGGCTCAATGCTATCGTACCCAAGCAGATCTTCGTCGTCCGTCTCATCATCACCCAGACGGCCTGCCGCGTGGGTATCGCCAACCACTTCTCTTCGCTGTTTGTACAAAGTAGCCTTCATGGTATCCTTCTTCTTTTCATCGACCCTTTGCACCAGTATCTGGAACGTAGCATAGACCGGTCGGTGGTCAGAGAAACGAAGTGGTGCATCGTTGTAGTGAATTTGTCGGATGTTATCACCCTTGCGAAGTACACGATCACACCAAGCGGGAATGCGCGCTTTCTCGGATGTATCGTATTGGTTACTGTTGAGGTCGTACTTGTAAGTCGGCGGGAAAGTGATGCGGGCCTCGGAGTAGTACGGAAAGGTCAAGCCAGCTACCATCTGCAGATTAAGCTGCTTTTGGTTAGCTATGGTCCATGCAAGTAAAACGTGACTACTTACCTGGTCGTTGTCATACAAGGTCTCGAGGTCACCAACATGGCACAGCCGTTGCACTTTCTCATTATTCAGACCAATCCGGTAGTTGAAGTCGCCGAGCCATATTACAGTGTCGTGATCTTCAATTGATCGGTTCCTTTGAAAGCGTAGGCCATGGCTGATAGTCTTGTAGTCGCGGTTGCGCTCTTCGTAATTGGCAAAACCAGCTGCGAGATGGGCCGTGACAAGGCAGATCGAGGTATTGGCGTACTCAAATCGAATAGCTACGGCTCCCTTGTTACCAGCCATACCGGACATGCCAGTCTGGAGTATGTTTTAGCGCAATAGGTAAAGATGCAGTAAATGTGGACATACCTTCTTCAGAGCGCCTTCGACGTTCTTGATATGCGTAAGGCAGTCGGCCCGGACAAAGACCGACAAACTCGCACCCACTAACTGGCCACCTCTTAGAATAACATACTCGTCTTTTCTGTGCTTCTCGGCATTCTTGTTGAGACACATTCTGACAGCTTCCTCCCAAGCCTCGCGTCTGTCTGGGTCTGTCGACATGATTTGTTGAGGGCTTAATTCGACAATCTCTTGAAAGCCTACAGCTACTATTTCGGGGCACTGCTGTGATGGATCGACATCCGGGCATAGCCAGGGCGAAAGATCGCTCTTTATGCCACTCGTTTTTCCGTTCAAGTTGAATGTTCCGACGAGAATATTGATCATCTCGGTCTCTGAATACTCCGCAGATCGTCGCGCAAGCTCTGCGACCACATAATCGTTGAGCGGGTCATAGAGATGCACTGGAACCTGGCCAATCAGTCTTCCAAGGAGCATGTCGATGGTGTTCTGTCGCCCTTTATCCGCAAAGTTGTTAATGTACATTCGGGTTGCGCTCTTACGAGCGTCTGCCAGAGCACCCGCAAGCGACATCTTTCCAGATCGCGTAAATGAGGACTTCAGCGCTCCAGTTCCCGCATAGATCTTTGAAAGAGCATCGCCATTGTCTGCCCACATACTTGAATGTCTGACCCAGAAGTCTTGACTGGCTCGAAGGCCTTTGTGGCTCAAAAAGATTTCGAGTGCCATCTTGCTGATGATGGTTTGCACGAGGTTCGTTCGATCAAGGCAATCCAAGCAGTTTGTTCGGAAAACACCCTCCTGTTGCAGTATGCTCATTGTCCGGCGGACAGCGTAGTCTTCTCCATTGTGTCTGGCCACCTCTTCCACATCTTCAGAGAGATAGTACCCGAATCCTTCAGCAGAACCTTGGATCCACTGAGCAATCATACTAGCCATCTCATAGCCACCGGGTCCTCGTGTCTCAGCATGGAAGTCATATTCTGTAAGCTTGATGAGGTCATGCTGCCGGTCGTTAAGATTGCTTCCTTGGTTCAACGGGCTATTCCTGATATGCCCGCGATATCTATGCGTCAACTCTAACTCGTTTTGTTTTTCGTTGCTCAGCAGGTTTACAACATGAGTTGTGCCGTAGCTGAGTTCCAGATTATCAAAGTGCCTGTCAAAGGCGGGTTGTGTAGCTTCCGGCGACCGGGTGATGGTAATCTTTTGTTGGTTTGGGAGGAGACCAGCCTGCTGTTCCCAGAAGATGGGTACACTTCCTCGCACCTGCACATAAGAGAAGCAAGCTCCCGACGGCGCCCAGTATATTGTTTCGCTTTCCACAAAGTTTGCGACATTCCCATCATCATCGATACCTCGCGAGTTGAACCTTGTGCCCGCCCGCTTGCAGGATAATCTTGAGATGAGCGTCATGGACGACGGCATGCCTGAATCCTGTACCCTAATGGGGGCCGAAGACTTGGGAATCGTAATGGTGAGTGCGAAACCGCGGATGGCAGATGTCAAGATCCCCGAAGCATCCAAAGCGTCCTTCTCCCTCGGCGCAAGGCGGCTCCTAAAGTCCACCAGTGGCTGGATCATGTATGAGTTCCATAGAAAGCCAGCGTCTAGACTGTCGATAGAAACGGTTGCGGCGTCGGTTGTGCGGTCTTGTAAGCGTCTGGTGAGGTCGAAGTCTGAGCTGTAATAGAAGGTTCCACTGCTGAGTATCTTCTTGAGCGCCAGACACGGGTGTTCCATGGGCGATTGCTCCTTCCTGCCACCGAAGCCCATCTCATATCCTTCGTCATCGATTGTATCCGTGGGGTAGGGGTTGACTTCGTCGTTGAGCAGGGTATCGTAGCTTGTGCTGGTCAGGCAGTAGAAGCCGACCGAGTATATCCTCTGCACCGTCTCGCCAGGCCGTACTGTCGCCACCTTGCTCGCGCCATTGACGACGACGAGGAAGACATCGCTATTGACGGTGATCAAGCCCAGTGTGCCGTGTACGTTGACCGAATGCAGCGCGCGGTAGTCTTCTAGATCGATTTCCTCCAGGCGGGTGAACTCGACCATGCAGCGCGCGACGCCGGCGCCGTTGCTCCCCAGTGACGTGGACGAGGCATTGGGGTTCCCCGTCTGTTCGGTGGTGGACGCGCTGTGTCGGAGGACGAGGGTGTGGGTCGAGGTAGCGAGGGCGATTGCGCGGTGTGGGTAATCTTTGATCAGAACACGGATAGACATGGTCGGAGGTGGACGGGGGCGGAGGAGGAATGCGCGGGTGCTTCGATCATGCTCGGGGTTCTGCTACACGTCAAGGCAGTCAAAGCGTTTGCGCAAGTATGACGGTCGCGGCAAGTAAGCACGTGTGCTTTGGCGGTTGCTCTCAGCGCGCAGGATTATGTTGGCCTGGATGCTGATCGCAACCCTAGATGTACACCACTCGACTGGTGCCCGATGCTTTACAAGGCTGCCCTGACCATCGCTTAGGCGTACGCCGGCAGCCAGAACTCGACACTTGGGCTGAGAAACATGTGGAGCTGATTCTCTCCGTCTCGGAAAGTGCGGCGCGACGTCTTTGCTGGTTCGTGCATCGCGTCCAGGTGCAACATAACTAACTAGTGACCTCATAGCACGAGCAGTTGAACATGAAAGTAAATTAGTTTGGATAAAAAGCTATAGACAACCGCACCATAACTATGAACAGATGCTGCAAGTCCTTCAAGACATAAGTAGTGATATCAATCGTAAGCCAACAAAAACGTGGTTCCCAAACAGACACTCATCTCTGCCTGTACGCAACTCTGGTGTTAGTTTCTGTGTAGCTGGGGTCTTCATAGCCGCCCCGACTGCGACTGCGCTGTCTGCTCCTGTCGCGCCTCTGGTATCTTTCATAATGGTCGCTCTCGCTCGATGCAGGCTCCACATATCTGTAGTGCTCGTAGCGAGGGTTCTCGGGACTGTAGTTGCGTTCGCGCTCACGCCTGACCTCTCGCTCTGTATACACATACTCGCTGCGGCTAGGGCTCGATGAACGAGAACTCATGCTAGACCTGGGCGAGACTTCGACGTAGTGCGCACCGCCATGGCGTGACTGGGTGTGGTGCGAATGGTGAGAAGAGATGTGGCTAGGCGGTGGAGGTGGAGCCGGCATGGGCGCTGGGGGAGGAGGCTGCACGAACACAGGCACAGGCTGCGGTGCGGGAATCTGGAGAGGCTTTGGCGAGGGCACCGCGACGTAGGATGCTGAGGGCCGTGGAGAAGCTTCGTGCACAATCTCGGTGCGCGAATAGCGGCGCTCGATGTCGCGCGATTGGCGTGATGCGCGGCGACGGGGCGGAGAGCGGTTCCGCTGGACGACGCGGTAAGGGACGATGTGGTCCTCTTCCGGCTTGACTTTGACCAGACACATGGCGCTTTCACCCTCGGCAGGGTATGCAGTGACAGCGAGGCCTCAAAAAGTGGGAAGCTGCGACTGCGATCGCGATGTGATTCGCGCGACGATCAACGTGGGGTTCGATCGAGGGCGGGACGGGGCGCACCACGAGTGAGTGAGAGGCTCAGCGAGCGCAACGAGAGCTGGAGAAGATGGGCAGACAGATGCAAAATGAGCGGCACATGAAAAGGTCACCAGAGGCTATGTATATGTCCTACAGATCGGGCAGCCGGTGCCCAGCCACACAGCTGACCCCCATGTCGATTCCATGCTGCTCCGCCTTGGAACTCAGCATGCGAGTGTGACGATGGGGTCTGGGCTTTTCTGACAGCTGAGTCTAGCGTCCTGGTCACCCTGGTTAGCCTCAGGTACGGACGGAGCCGCCAACGTCAACAAGCAGGGCAGACTAGATAAACTTCATATTGCAATAGCCGTCTACACTCGTGATTATCATGCTGCATTTCACATACGACCATCAGACATGCCGCCAGTTTTCCCGTCCCGAAATATCATACAGCCTTTACATACGCTGTTCACTCTTCCACAGGTGCCGTGCGACTGCCCTTCATGCTACCTCGCTCTCAGGGTCCCTAGCTAGTTTCCCGGTGTGTTACTTTTTAGTATACATGGGAGTCTCTGGGCGGGCCGGGCGGTGTAGGCTTCTTATTTCACTTCCTAACCAAGGTGCTTGCTGGAGTTAGGCCATGTCTACCACTAGTCGTCCATGGGCTTGTCTTCCAGCGTGACACCTCTTGGCGCTGCTGTGTCGTCACTCCTCAAGCTGCCGGTAGAGTCCCGATTGCCCCTCGTCAAGCTGCCTGCATGTTTCCGTGGGAAAGGCACCCGGGTACTTGATGGCGCTGGGTGCTCGGCGGGAGCAGGAACAGGAACAGAAACAGTTGCGGGCTCTGTTGTACCATTGGTGGTTGCAGTGACTTCTTCGTTGGTAGGGCTGTCGTCGCTTCCAGGTACTTCAAGAGAACCACGATCTCCCTTGCTCCTTCGCGTTTCGGTTGGTGACGATGTGTTCACGGGGAATCGAGTCTGACTTCGGTCACGGCGATGCGAGCCGGAGACACGCGAACCAGGTGCTGGTGATACCGCACGAGGAGAGCGTTGAGCTGCGATGGCTCGTTGGCGCTCTTCCATGTTTGCTCGTCGGTTGCTCTCATCCGTCGAGATCGCGCGTGGGCGCTGTGCGCCCGAGGCTGAGTGGGTGAGCGTGCTCGCGCGCTTCAACTCTCCAAAAATGGCATCCTTGTGCGCAAAAAGGTCACGGACGAGGCGGTAGCTGTAGCGCTCGTTCATCGTCAAGCTCGATTCTTGCCTTGGCCTCAAGATGCATGGCGCGAGTGCATTGGCCAGTGCTGTAACATAAGTCTCGTCGGCCGATGTCAACTCAATGAGACGAGTGAAGTGTGTGCAGATCGCGTCGAGCGTTGCGATGTTAGCGAGGCGGAGTTGGCCAAGGGTAGATTGCAGAACAGAGACCCGAGTCTCTTCGGAGACATCTGTAGCGGTGGTGCTGTAGATGGTCTTGACAATCTCGTAGACGTGAGAAGAAACCAGTGAGTCTGTTACAATTAGCAAAGGATCTGATGATGCAGAGTTGACACCTACCAGGAAGTTCCAACAGGTAGAGTTTGAGGACGCTCGCAACAATCGGTACATCGTACTTCTCGAGTAGTTCATCTGGGAACCTCTTTCCAGTGTTGATCTCAGCTCGGAGGGTGTGAGTCTGCGCCAGAGGAACATCAACGAGCCAGATGCCACGGCGTGCTTCGTCACCCTCCAAGTCGGGGTAGTGGTTGTCCAGGAAGGTGAGAACTGTCGTAATGAGTACCGGAACACGCTTCTTGTCTGAGCGAGCCCGAGCCTCCAAATCTACACCGAATGTTTGTTCTGTGTTTGTTAGTATATAGTTGCATCTCGATATACATCGTGACGTACCGTCTACTGAGTTGTAGTAATTCTCATAAGTCGTGACTCTAGGCACGAATGGCCCTGTCCTGTAGTTCTCGAGCATGTATCGGAGATCGCCTAGGGGCTGGACTGTCTCCTGGAACAGCATCATCTTGTCGACGGTGCTCTGCAGACTGGGAATTACGTTGCTGACAGCGCCAGAGAAATCCAAGATAACCGCCTTAATAGCCTTCAGCCTGTCCAATTCGCAACGCTCCATGAATTTGAGATGGTCCACCATAGCCTCTTCCAAATTGCACCGTAGCGAGTCAAGCTTCTTGACTGATGCCTTGTAGCGCTCATCGGACTCGTGTGCCTCCCGCCTGAGCCTCTCTGCTGGTGTCTCATTCGGGTACTGGTTGTTGAGCGGGTTCCACCCCTGGAGGTATTCCTGCACGGTCGAGACGGGCGAGTCCACGGCAATGCTGTCGGCTGAGGAGCTAGACATAGTGGTAGAAGAGCGGGCGAGAGGCTGCTTCTTCTCAGGCAGTCCGGTCACCTGGAACGTCTTGGGCTTCCATTGGTAGTTCATGCGGGAGCTGTTGGCGAATGTGTTTCCCACGTTTCCTACTAGGCGCAGAAAGCCGTGTGCTACCAGGTCTTGACCAATGCGCTCGGCATAACTCACGGTGGTTGCTGCCATGTGCTTCTGGATGTATTCGGTGATATCGGCACCGCTTGAGCAGTTCTGGTAGGTGCCGAGAATGGGAACCTTGACCTCTGCAATCTTGATGTTGTCCAGCATGTGCGTGAGGATCTTCTTGATCTGGTCGGGCTGGTACGTCTCGTCACCAAGGTCAATGGGCTCCTCTTCCTCATTCTCCGGCTCCGACATTTTTATGGTAGGCACTTTCATCTTGGGGCTCTGTGCGGCCTCGCTCTGGGGGTCCTGAAAAGCAAGCTTGTCCTCCTCCTCCAGGTCTTCGACAAGCCGACACTTGTTGTAGTATTGCGATCGGTACTTGCGGACAGCATCGGCCTGTCGGTCGTGGATCTTGATGCGCGATTGGAGGTCGTCCTGGGAGTTCTGCACGCGGGCGGCATGCGCTTCGCACCAGCGACCGAACGGGTTCACGACAAGCTCACGGATGTTGGACGCAATCTTCTTGTGGTTTGCGGCGGCTGCCTCCATCTCGGTGCGCACGCCCTCATAGGCCTAGTGCCAGTTAGCATGGGGTTGTCGCCGTGTCTCCTGCTCACGCACCTTGCGCACGCTTGCGCCCTCATCTCTGCTAAAGCCCCCGCCTATGCGATCTGTGGCTGGTGTAATCGAGGACAGGCTGTTTCCGTACGCCTCCTCGGCATCGGCTCGCATGCGGGCCACGGTCAGAATCTGCTGGTTTTCCTGCACGCCCTGCTGCAGCTTGCCAAAGAGGACGCCCAAGCCTGCGAGAGTTAGCCTGCGCGGGGTGGTGTTGGGTGCGCCTGCAGCTTACCTCCGGCATAGTCGCTCGACCAAAAAGAGGCCGCAAAGCCCGTCGTCATGGCTTGGTGTGAAGTGGGGTATCAAAAAGAAACAACCAAGTTGGGTACTGGTACGGGTGTGGTCGGTCAACGGCCGTAGTGAGCGCGCGGAGAAGTGAGTCTGGGGAACACGCAAGCGCAGGCCCGGTGCTCGAGCGTGGGTGACGTCGCCCTACAAAGAGGCTACTCGCGTAACGGGCAGTGCGTCGTGAGTGGGCGCAGCGCAGTGGTACTCGACACGGGCGGCGGCGGCGGCGTCGGGGAAGCGAGGGCAGTGACTGACTGAGGCACGTCGGTGTCAGGAGGGTTTTGCAGGCCGCAGCTGGGGCACGACTGCAGAAGAGCTGAGAGCTGAACGATGTCTCATGTACCCCTGCATGTG